TGAGCCCAGGAGTTTGAGGTTGCTGTGAGCTAGGCTGACGCCACGGCACTCACTCTAGCCCGGGCAAAAGAGTGAGACTGTCTCAAAAAAAAAAAGTGTGAGGCATGGTTGCAGCATCCAACTGGAGGATCTCAGTGTGGGATGAGAGATCTGCAAGTCTGCCAGCTTAAGCTTCTGATGCACTGTACTTGAGGGATCCTTCTGTTGCTGACTTAAATTATTACTACAAGTCAAGGACAGCCTATGTATAATTTAGGGTAGTATCTTTTACAAATGTATTTATTTTATTTGTCATATTTTGCTTCCTGAAAGGATTTTTGAGGAGGATCTTGCATTTTATTTACCAGAGCAATGTCTTATATCAGTCTTCTCTTCCCATCTAGATTGTATAATGTTTGATGCTTAAAAATATGTCTTAAGTTTCTCTTCTATTGCCCAGGGTGCCTGTTATGATGTTGAATAATGACAAATGGGCAAAAATAATGCCGAACATTTTAATAGTTAACATAAGTACATAGTCACTACTGGTTGTTTTAATGAGTAAAGCCATGTTGCAGATTCTAGCTTGTCTCCCAGAGCCCATAGAAGACATGGTGAACATAGGGTGACCACATGTCCCACTTTGCCCAAGACAATCCTGGTTTGCATCTATTGTCCTGATATAATCATTAATAATGATTCGCACTCTCAGAAGTGTGCTGGTTTGGACAATAAATTATTTAATGACTTTATTGATCAGCCACATCCAAGGAGCTTCCCAGTAAATTCCAATATACAAAAAATAATTTTGCTTTAATAGTAAATTAAAGCTTTGTGGCAAAAGATAACCACAAAGTACAAAGTTAAAATTATATTATCAACTACTTGCTATTTCCTATGTAAGATTGTCTATTTCTATATAAATTTAGTTCAATTCTGCCCCCTACTGTCTTATGACAGTATTATGACACCATGAAGACAGAACTGTTTCAGCTTCATTGATGAAAGCTGATGTGTTAGTACTGTTGATTACTTTAGAGTGTAGGTCCTCAACCTTGCCTACTGCTATATTAGCTTTAAAAAATCCCCACTGCTTATGCTGCATCCCATACCAGTTAAATCAGAATCTCTGGGGATGAGACCCAAGCATCAATTTTTCTAAAGCACCCTAGTTGGTTCCAATGTGTAGTCAAGGTTGAGAATCATTGCTTAGAATGTCAGATGGAATAGTCTATTGCAGTTCACTTAGCTTTTTGATTCCATAATCCAGATTAGACTATACTTCTAATCATGTCTGGGGAAACCTTGGGGATTGGAAGAAAAGATGCTTTTATATCAGGACAAATCTACATCACTACTGAAAAAAATGGCATTTAAAAAAGCCATTCTAGGCTGGGCATGGTGGCTCACGCCTGTAATGCTAACACTTTGGGAGGCTGAGGCAGGATGATCCCTTGAGGCCAGGAATTCAAGACCAGCCAGAACAAGAGTGAGACCTCATCTCTGAAAAAAATACAAAAATTAGCCAGATGTGGTGGCATGCGCCTGTAGTGCCAGCTACTAGAGAGGCTAAGGCAGGAGAATCACTTGAGCCCAGGAGTTTGAGGTTGCAGTGAGCTGTGATGACATCACTGCACTCTAGCTGGGGTGACAGATTGAGACTCTGTCTCAAAAAAAAAAAAAAAGCCATTCTAGGCTGGGCACAGTGGCTCACACTGTATGTAATCCCAGCACTTTGGGAGACCAGGAGTTCAAGACCAGCCTGGGCAACATAGCTAGACTCTATCTCTACAAAATATTAAAAAAAATTAGCCAGGTGTGGTGGCATGAACCTATGGTTCTAGCTACTCAGGAGGCTGAGCCAGGAGGATCTCTCAAGCCCAGGAGTTTGAGGCTGCAGTGAGCTATGATCCTGCCACTGCACTCCAGTCTGGGCAACAGAGTGAGATCCTGTCTCAAAAATAAATAAAAATTAAAAAGCCATTCTAAGGGATAGTGTTTTCCTTGGGTATAAAAATACTTTTTTACTTACAGTGATGATATGGACAGTACCTACTAGAAAATGAGTCCATTCAGCCATCAGCCTTGACGCCACAGCTCAGCCCTAATTCTCTGTTGATGGAATTGTCTGCTGAAGAAGCTCTAGGATGGCCAAGAAGGTCAGACTAGGAGATGGGGGCAAATGAGGTAGAGCCCATTACATTAAACAACTGCTTCCTTTTTTCTTGAATGTTCAGAGACTTGTTAATGGAGTTTATCATATGAAAAAGCATTGATGTGAAAGCCCAGGAAATCTGCTGGAGTGGAAGTTGCACTAATTAGAACATTAACTAAATTAAGTCACTGGGGAGAAGTGGATCCCAAAGGGAATAAGAGAGGAAGGAGAAAGATACAGAAAAATCATTAATCATCAGCAAGAGAGAGACAGCTTTTGCAGAAAACTAACCAAGAAACAGGTTTTAAATAATAACCTAGAAGTTTAGTTCCCACTCCTTTTTTCTAAAGTTCACCAGGAAAAGATAACGGATCTAGCATCTGAAATTCACCCTGTTAGAAGAGATTTTTATTCCTCTTAAACTCTTTTTTTTTTTTTTTCTGAGACAGAGTCTCACTTTGTTGCCTGGGCTAGAGTGACTGTGGCGTCATCCTAGCTCACAGCAACCTCAAACTCCTGGCCTCAAGCGATCCTACTGCCTCAGCCTCCTGGGTAGCTGGGACTACAGGCATGCGCCACCATGCCCGGCTAATTTTTTCTATATATTTTTAGCTGTCCAATTAATTTCTTTCTATTTTCGGTAGAGATGGGGTCTCACTCTTGCTCAGGCTGGTCTTGAACTCCTGAGCTCAAACAATCTGCCCGCCTCGGCCTCCCAGAGTGCTAGGATTACAGGCGTGACCCACCGCGCCCGGCCCCTCTTAAACTCTTAACTAGAACTGTGAGATCAGCTGTAAGTGTTGGCATGAGAAAGAAGGGATCACTTAGGAATTTTGAGAGTGAGCATCTGTATAAAAATCTCCTGTGAAACCAGCAGAGGCCTCGTAATACCTAAAGGAGTAGGGAAGAAGATGTATGTGGCAGATGGTGAGGTCTTTATACACCATGTCTGCGATTGCATTACTCTGTTCTTCAATCCAGCCAAAGGCAAGACTCTTAGCATAAGTGGGGACAGCATAGAAATTTGGAAGCAGCATCAGGAATTATCCTGAATGAGTCTATCTGTGATTGGTTCTGTTTGTGAGATACACACTGATACTGAAAAAAAAAAATTCTTTTGCAAGTAATGAATAGGGAAAAAGCAAAAATGTTTCTGTAGATGTGCTGATTCGTAAAAATAGTTCTTACTCTTTTCTGGGTAACAGACCCCTGGGAGTATCTGATGAAAGCTATGT